GCCAGGACCCGCCGCGACGCCCGAGCGCGCTGGCCTGCGTCCCTATGGGGCCCCGAGGCGTGCAGAAGCCGCCCTCGCAGTCGCTCCGCGTGCGCCTGGGTTCCGCCCACCCGGCCATTACCCGCTGGAAACGCGCCTCCTCTCTCTGAAGGGCCTTGGCCTTTGGAGCGCGGATCAGCCAGGCAGGGCCTTTCCTGGACACCCCAATAGCACCGAGACAGGAAGGGTTTGCTCGGGGATCCCCCTGCCCTCGGTGACAGTGTGACTAGAATGACATGAACGCCGGAGGGGTGTGCACGGATTCGGGTCCACACAGCAAACCCAAGGACCTGGGCATTCAGAGAGAACAGAAAGCTTGATCCGTTCGCTGGGGCGCGTTTTGTGATGCGTGCATGCAGGGAGGCAGAAAGCACCCCAGGCCAGGCCGCTCCTCGATTATTATTATTTTTTTTTTTTTCCAGAAGGGATTGTTTTACTATAGGGCGCCTGCTCTCCACGGAGACAGAGAGAGAAAGCAAGAAATCACCTCTCAGGGGCAGTGACCAGGCCGCCATCCCATCTCCATTCTCCTCTGGGAATTTTGGGCACGCACACGTACTCTCTTGGCTGAAGGTTTTTGGTTTTGTTTTGTTTTTATAGAGACATTTTTGCTATCGGTTGCATGTGCTCTCTGGAGTTGCATGTGCTCCCTGGAGCGTTAGAAAGTGAGAAATCGCCCCCAGGGGGGATGGCCATGCTGCAATCCCTTCTCCGGTCTCGTCTTGGGGTTTTGGGCACACACGCACACGCATCCCACGTGAGTTTTAAGGCACCTCACGTGAGTTTTAAGCTGTCGGCCCCGGGACTGGAACTGTCGTGGACTGCATGGGAGTCCAGTGGAGTGGCCGGTACCGTCCTCTGGCCTCTCCAGTTTCAGCCTCCTTCCATGGAAAAGCATTCCTGTCCCTTGCAAGCCACTTCATGCCCAAAGATTAAGATTCCACACATGTAGCTAAGAGAGCAAGCAGCCGTTGTTCACAGCTGTACGGTCAGGTGACAACATCTTCATCCCCCTGATGAGATCCCGGGCGGCGAGCTCACAGGAAAACTGGGTTTTGTAGACAAAGAAGAGCCGTTTTTTGTTTTTGTTTTGTTTTGTTTTTAGAATTATTTTATTTAACTTTATTTATTTTAATTTGACCAGGGGGGAGAAAGAGAGAGAAAGTGAGAAAGCAAGCCGCCAGGTCGGGGACTCGAGCTGCCGGGGCCCCGAGCTGCCGTCGCCCATGTGGGAGTCCAGTGCCCTTAACCACCATGCCATGCCTGCCGGCCCCCTGGCAAAGAAGGGCTTTAAAAACGAGAGGGGAATACAAAGCAAAGTGGGCTGCATGGAGCCTGCTGGTTAAGGGAGCCAGATCCCACATGGGCCAGTGGGTTTGAATCCCACCCCCGGAGTTTGAAAAACACACACCAGGGGACCAGCAGTTGGCATAATGGCTAAATGCATGGCCTCTCATGTAGCTGACCACGGTTCAAGTCCTGGACCAAGTGGCTTAAACTCATGCCAAGCACGTGTGCGTGCGTACCCAAGATCCCGAGAGGAGAATGGAGGAGACGGGTGCGGCGTGGCCATCGCCCCTGGGGGTTGATTTCTCGCTTTCTGTCTCTCTGTCTCTCTCTGTCTTTCTGGCAAGTGCACGTGCCCTATAGCAAAAGCCTGTCCAAAAATAAATAAATAAATAAAGTATGCCCCACATCCTCGGGCAGGATGGAAAAATGGGGGAGAAGGCATTGCACCCAGAAGACAGGGTGCTTTTTCTCGCTCTCTTAGGAGCACACACCCCCCTCTGTGGTGGGACAGCAGGTGACATAATGCGTAAGGCTCTGGGCTCCCACGTAGCCGATGGCAGTTTGAGGCCTGGACCCAGTGGTTTGAAACTCCTGACGGGCATGTATCCGTGCGTGCCAAAAATCCCAGGAGGAGAATGGAGGAGAAGGGATTGTGGTGAGGCCATCCCCCTGGGGGCATAATTTCTGTCTCTCGGGGGAGTGTTTCTCCAGGGAGAGAGTTATTTCTCTCTCTAAATTAAAAAAAAAAAAAATGTAAAAACCAGCCACGCCACAATCCCTTCTCTTCTATTCTCCTCTCGGGATCTTGGGCACGCACGCACACGCGCCCAGCGTGAGTTTAAGCCACCGGGTCCAGGACTTGAACCGCAGTCGACTACATGGGAGTCCAGCGACGTAGCCATGACGCTAACTGTTGGCCCCTATATTTTAAGCTTAATGAGCGGTAGCATCCATGCCTTTGGAAGCAGCTGTCTGGAAATACCTCCTTCCCATGCCAAGGCATCAAGGTTCACCTCTCCGTTTTGCTTTTCTCCCCAGGGTCGGTATGAGGGCCCTACTCTTTCTCTGCTTGCTTCTGGAGACTTCCGGAACTAAACCAGCCGAGGTCTTGAAACCGAATATTCTCCTGATAATGGCGGACGACCTGGGCATTGGGGATGTTGGTTGCTATGGGAACAAAACACTGAGGTACACATTCTCATCGGTGGTGCGTGTGCGTGTGTGTGCGTGCGCGTGCGTGTGTGCATGATGCATTCTAAATCCGCCTGGGGAATCAGAAGACGCTGGTGCGTCAGAACTCCACACTGAAGAACAATTTCCGTTTCAGTAGGCAAAGAGAGTCCTGGAGTTTTTAAGCAACATGGAACCGTGGCCCATGGCTGTCTTAGTTTCCTCAGAGAACCCATAGCGGGGCGGCAGGTGGCGTGGTGGTTAAGAGCGCTGAAATTGCCCATTTCTGACCACAGTTCGAATCCTAGACCTGGCGGCTGGCTTTCTCACTTTCTCTCTCTTTCTCACTCACTCTGTCCCTCTCTGGTCAAATTTACATAAATAAATAAAGTTAAATAATTCTTTAAAAAATAAAAAGAATGCCCTAATAAAAACTTATGACTTGGGACGCTTAAAACGACAGAGATTAGGGGCCAGCAGGTGGCAAGGTAGCGAAGGCTCTGGCCTCCTAAGTGGCCAACTGCGGTTCAAGGCCGAGACCTGGGGGCTTGCTTTCTCCCTTCCCTCTTTCTCTTTCTCTGCTGAGTGCATGTGCCCTATAGCAAAATTTTAAAAATAATAATAAAGAGAGAAAGAAAAAGAAAGAAAGGAAAGAGAAAGAAGGAAGGAAAAGGAAAGAAAAAATAAACAATGGAGATTGATCCTCTCCCAGTTCTGGAGACCAAAATTCTGAAATCAGGTGGGAGCAGAGCCATGATCCCTCTGAAGGCTCCAGGGGTCACTCCCTCCTCTCCCAGCTTCTGGGGTACCCAGGAGAGGCTTCTTCCTCCTCTCCCAGCTCCCAGGACCCCAGGGGAGGCTCCTTCCTCCTCTCCCAGCTCCCAGGGACCCCAAGGGAGGTTCCTTCCTCCTCTCCCAGCTCCCAGGGTCCAGGCATCCCTTGGCTTGTGGCCATGCCACTCCAGTGTCCTCCTCCATCTTCACATGGCTCCTCTCTATCTGTGTCTCCTCTCTGTCTCTTAGAACGACACTGGTCATTGTGCTTAGGGCCACCCTACTTCGGGTAACCTCATCTCACGATACTCAACTAATTCCAGGTACAAAGACCTCTTTTGTAAGCAAGATCCCATTCTCAGATCTCGGGCTTCTATGGAAGGACATGCACCCGAGGGCCGCTGTCCAGCCCACCCAAAGGGCCAACACTTTAGAGCACCCTCTACGCCTTCCCTTCAGTAGGACACTTGCATGGCGTTCCCATGTTTCCTGCAACAGGAGAAAAGTTGAGCAAGCCTCTCGTTCCACTGTGGACCCTTCTTGTAGCCCCAGAACCGAAGCTGTCTGTCTCCCCGTCATCCTAAGACTCTGCACCCATCCACACGTTTCTCCTGCTGTGATAGGCATTGCAGCACCTGCAGAAATCTGAGACGTTCCCGGGGACCTCCTCCAGCCGCACAAGCTGCCGGTTGTGATTCACAGCATGTGGAATTCACTCACGGGGAAGATACTGTTGGTGGAGTTTAGTGCATACGGGGTTCCGCAGTCATGCCCTCAACCATCAACGCACCTTTAAATACCCGTAAAGGAACCCATCACCCCCGGGACAGGCTCAGTTATGCCTCTCCCCAAATTCCTGTGTCAAGACGCTCACTCCCAGGACCTCGGAATACGAGGCAGCGCCTGTGAAGAGGTGACTGAGGTGAAATGAGGTCGCCAGGGTGAGCCCTGATCCTGTAGGGCTGCAGTCCTTATGAGAAGAAGAGATGAAGACGCAGACACACACAGGGAGACAGCCATGTCGGGAGAGAGGGAGAAGGTGGCCTCTCCATGCCTAGGACTCAGGAGGGAACAGCCGTCCCCATCTTGACCTCAGACTGCCAGCCCCAAAACTTTGAGAATCAAATTTGTTTAAAGTATTTCAGTCTGGTTACGGTATCATTTTACGCCTCCAGAGCTATGAGAGGAGTAATGTTTGGTGTCTAAGTCCCCAGGCTGTGGGTCTTTGTTACACAGCAGTAGCTGACTCATACATCTCCCAGCACTGCAAACTGCCTAACCCCTAGAAACTACTAATCTGTTTTCTGTCTCCCTACACTTGACTATTAGGGTCACACACACACACACGCACACACGCACATGTGTATGTGCCCTTTATTTTTTAGTTTTTGGAGTTTTTTTGCTCTTCACACTCTTTAGACTGGCTCAGGAGACCTCTCCTGGTCTCCCCAGAAAGCCTCATTATGTGCATAATACACTATGTCATGTGATTTTCGTACGTGTGTGTGACATCACTCATCTCGACATCCACACCAAAGCTCAGATGGGGATTTGTCTGCTTCTACAGGGACCGTGATACGATGAATTCTAAAATCTGCCCAGTCCCTACAGTAAGACTGATTTCGTCAGTCCTGATGCCTTTAAGTGCAGGGATCTGCTGAAGCGGAATGTGTATTTTGTAGCTAGTGTAATTCTGTTGTTTGACCAGGACACCAAATATTGACCGGCTTGCAGAGGAAGGTGTGAGGCTCACCCAGCACCTGGCAGCCGCCCCGCTCTGCACCCCGAGCAGAGCTGCGTTCCTT